CCTCTAGACTGCTACTGGCACTCGAGATCTGGCCTCTCCCCCTACCGCGCCCGAATCCTTATGTCTCTCATTCGTACGCTCGCCAGAAGCGCACGCCGAGCACTTTTGAGAAGATTTAGCAGAATTTTGTGTTGACAAGCTCCTTCCGGAATAAATAGATCGAGGGATGAAAATGTCAAATCGCTGAAGCGATTTCTAGGGGTAACTCATATCCTAATAAATCCCATAATGAACACCTTTGTGAAGTTTTTTTGAAATTTTACCATTCTACTAGTAAAATGGTAAAGTTTCAAAAAACTCTCCTAAAATTCTTCAAAATGCCACGTTGTCCCACGATTACATGATTTTCAGGGTAAATTTTAAGAAAAAATTCTCTTCGTATACGCACATCTTTTGTATAGCACAAATCTTCGTCTCGGGTGACGTTTGATATAATTATATTTTCATTTATCTTTCTTCTCTCTTTAAGATCCATCGTACATATAAAAATAAATTAAGTTTATATATTGATTGAACTTCTTTATCGCTTTAAGAAAAAAAAGAGAATAATATCGGTTCTATTTCATCGAATCAGAAGACGAAGGCTCCAAGTTTTAGACGTGTGTTATCTGTTTCATCTGTCTCCCGCTATCCGAGGAACGATCGCGTTCGTCGCTAAAACGTTTGTCGGTACGAGAGATGCTGAAGTACCGAAGCCTGACAATGGTACCGCAGACTCTCAATGTCTGATGTCCTGATTTCCGTTAGTGGCTTTGGTAAATCTTTCCGATTCTTCCGACAGTATTGCACTACCGTGGCTTCGGCGCGGATTTTAAGCGTCTCTCATTTCTGCTTTCGACAGAGCGCGACAACGACGATGTCCGTCGCGTATACGCGCCAGATCGATTTTGCCGCGGGTAAAAGTGCGGAAAAGAGGACTCGGACTTTGCGTTCGACGCTTCATCGATACGGATTTAATTTTCGTGAAAGCGGACGCGCGGACCGTGCGAGGGCGAGTATGCGAGCGATCCGAATAGCCCGTGGAACCTGCTACGAAAGCAGAATACGAGAATCTACGGCCAGGATACGTGACCGGATACGACAACTCGAAGATAGAAAAATGATCTATCGGCAAAGTTTGTTGGAGGAGGTGCCGATAGGAAGATGGATGGCGCGGTAATGCTGTTTGCAGAGAGTTCCAATTCTCCTGTTGGATAATATAATTTCCAATCTCGCGCAGTGTTACTCTCGCGCCGCAAGTATTGCCGCCCTACGGATTAATGGCATACGAATAGACGCGTGTCGATGACGCGACAGGTCGAGATACGTGATCGATACGTCACTAACGAAAGTCGTGGGAGAGTAATGTGTTTTGCGAGGGGCATTATTTATATTGCAAATGTTAAAACTTCGCGGAAGGTAAACAGTGGTTAATTAATGTTTGCAAGAGTCAAATCAAGTCGAATTACGTGCAATTTCGAAGTGCTTATAATATATTCATCAGTAATTTCTCTCCATTCACAGGTATATTATCGTGGTAAAAGTGCACGTGTTGGTGTCTTAGCGATATCTACGTGACGTCTTCTTTAACGTACACGTTAGCGATTTCGCGCGAGCAGATTTTCAAGTGGAAATGTATGTTGCGCAAAATACCTTTCGCCTCATTTAAGGCTAACATGGCGTGAGATTTGATAAGAATTGTTATCAGCGCACGTCTAGATACGGTGCGATAATGCGACGAGTGCGCGCAAACGTGGAACACTATTCGCGTAGCTCGAAGGCGACAAATATTTACGTAATTCAGGGCGAGTAAACTGCACGGGTACCCTAATCGTTCTCCGAGGCGAGCAGATAGAAATCGTACCTGTCGACAAGTAGAAATTAATTTCTATGTGTTTCCAGCGGGGTGAGGCATTCGAATCTAGATAAAGGCACTCCCGCACGACCTTTAGGGTCCACAGCGACCCTTTTGTTAAACGAATTCCTCCCTGGAGCCGCACATATCACTTAAGCCCTACAATTGTCAAGGAACCCGGCGTACCGTTAGCGCGCAGCTCTTGTAAACTTATGTGACAATTTACCGTCCCTCGCTCGATTTAAAAGGAATACGTTGAACGCGTATTATATTTATCTTGATAAATTTATTTATATCGCCGTATTGCGCGCCGCTTATTAAAGTAAATGATGCAACCAAACTGCTCATTGTGGCAATATATCGCAGATAACGCCATAAATAATACGCGTCATATAGCAATATCGACACATATTTGCATGGCGTAAAATTAAAATAAACATCATATGTCGCGCGCGCATCGATATATCATTTATTTTATGTTACCAGCATTATACGTGACAATATGTTACGCTTTCTATTTAGCGATACCATTTACGTGATTTATCGGCAGCGCGTTAAGTAATTGTATTGAAAAAAAAAGAATTTATCTCTCTAACGAAATACTGTTACACTCGCCCTATTCAATATAATTCGCTTTTATTACACTATTTTGATAGCATATACAATATAAAAATTAAATTTCATAGGAATTAATAAAATGCGCACATATTATTCCTTTAGCGAAAAATGGATAAAGTATCTCTATTGGTATTGAATAATATTTTAATACAAGCTATTACTTTTTTATTTACGTCGCACGGAAACTGGTTATGTTACACGAATTATTTACGAGCGTTTCACCCCTAAAATGTACCACCGTACCTGATAAATGGACGCTCCCGACCTGTTTTGAGGACCCTTTTCGATCGATAATTTATTATTCACTGAATACTAGACAAACTGGCTAATTGAAAACAATTCTTCTCAATTTGTGCATCCTTTTTTTATATTAATTGTGTAGGCTGTAGTTCGAATATGTATTCGTTCGTTATATTGAAATTTTTGCGAGCCTCGGCATATCCGAAGAAAGAAGCAATTCCGTTGTTCGGATCGCGCTCGTTTTACATAAGACGGGTACATATTTTAGCGACACTCACTCGGCGGGGGGTAGATGAAAAAGACTTAGGAGCGGCGATGAGAGAGGTGAAGAATGGCGCGATGTCGCGTCGAAGGCCGAGGGAGAGGACTCGGTCCTCTCACATAGAGGAATGCCGGCGAGTTATTTTAGGTCTTTCCAACTCCCTTCCCATTCTACAGAGGCGCGTTTACGCGACGTAACGAAATAATGAAGAAGGGCCGCCCTTTGCCGCCGCGACAACGCTCTCTTGACTTTCGACGATGAAAAAAATCTTTTCTCTACAAACATTCCCTTACGCTCCTCTTTCTTTTCTATTCTTTTTTTCTTTACACTACTTTTTCTCTCTCTCTCTTTCTCTCCCTTCTATCTCTCCTTCCCTCCGTGTCTTTTATGATTCCTGAAAGAATACCGGAACACGCGCTAAAGGGAATACTTTACGATGATGAAGAACGTTGTGACATTTTCCGCGCATAAATACTTTTTCCATTAGAAGGGAACATAGAGCAGAAACGTGAGCCCTTGTTCTAGGAGCCTCTTTGTCCTCGTAAACAGCTTTTTTTTAAAGCCGTTTTTATGAAAAACTCACGGATTATCTATGATGACGTAAGGTCGCATTTTCCGAGCGCTCTCAGGCTGAAAGTCGATGAGATGTAATTAGTAGAATTGGGATCTCTACGTTGTTTATTTTAACGAAATCTTGTCCTTTCTGATCAAGCTTCTCCGGAGAATTCTTGACTCGACGGGAAGGAAGGGCGCGCGCTTCAGCACGTAATGTTTCTTATATATTGTGCCTCTAATATTATATGCGCTTCCTCTTCTCCTCCGCTTGAATTTCCGTTACGAAGGAAGTCTTGTATCGGATATTCTCGCGGCACGCTATTTTTTCCGTGCCAAGAAGTATCTCATTCTCGGCTCTCGCGAGCAATGAAATTATGGAAAAAAAAAACAAGCGAACCACAAACGGCGCGGGATAAGCGTTAAATTGCATTTTCCAGTCGTCCGTCACGAATTAAAACAGAGAGGAAAATAGAAGTCTAAAGTCAACGATTTACTCAAAAAAGGCCGCGGCATCTTCGTAGCGAGTATAAAAGAATTTTCACAATTGTCACGGCGGAAGCAGCATTATTTCAATCTTTCGCGAATAAAAATCTTACAAGTTATAAAGTAGTTAAAGAGTTGCTACACTATAGAGCTCTTTTATGAACGTTATTATACCACATTACTTGTACCGTGACAAATTTCGAGCGTAAGAGTATTTTCAATTATTTGGACCAATTGTAAGCCTTGTCTGCGAAGAATTAATCACCATTACATCAATAGCAGAGTTATTTTTCGATTACAATGTGTTAAGTAACAATTATTGGATAGAATAACAGCTCCGGGTGCGACGGCATGCCGCGTTATATCATTGGTACAAAGCAAGAAACTCTAGTTATACGCGGTTATCGTTAATGTTGTTGCAACCGCCTCTTGAATATGTTAATTAACTCTGAAATGCAGTAGTAACACGGAGTTCAGTGTGATATATGTAAGCCGTACAGTGTAAACAAAACATTTTAACAGATTGCCGATGGGCTATGAGATTTGCCAATCTAGCATAATACAGAAATTTCCGTAGCCTCTGTTATCAGTGTGAAATGAGTAATCGTAACATGGGCGACCTACTTTCACATTAGTCAGTAATTATTCAGCAACGCACAAATGAACATCATTGAGTTTTGTTACTGCAATTAACAATTTGCCTTCGGTAGCAAATTATCTAACGTTATTGTCACTTAGTATTCCCGCGCTTTCTGTAGAATCATAATTTGCGCAGCGACAGTGCCGAACACTGTCAAAACTAATGGCTAGAAGCCAAGAAGGTCTCAAACTACCACAATTGTCACAACCCTTATTCATTTTATGCGCAGAACTTAATACAAAATAAAACGAAAATATTGTCGACAATCAAAGTTACATCCCCCACTCTTAAAACAAACAATACAAGAAAAATCTTTCTCGTAATTTTTTTTTTCCAAAAACGTGCAGTGTAAAAACAAGAAAAAAAACTCACGTATTTTCCTTTTGATCGCCGTTGGCCGAGTGCGATGGAGACGGCTGGATCTGCTGTTTGGAGTAGGGATGGTGGTGCACGTTGTTGTTATTATTGTTGTTATTATGCATGTGCACCTTGTTGGCGTTGCTGTCGGTGGGGGAGCCTGGCGAGATTTTACCCGCCAGAGCGTTGAGCGACTGTAGCATTTTCATGGGAGTCCGTTTGGCAACCGGTTGACGGTGCCTCCTTCGCTCGGTCTCGTTTATCCTTGAGGAAGACAGGATTATTGTACGCTTACGGTTTGAAGGCGTCAACCCTCAAACACTACTGTACGTGCACGAACAAGCTACTTCCAGGATCTCTCGGGCGGGCTGCGTACGGGACACTCCCGATTCACAAATCGAACCACGTTCGCGCTCAGAATCGGCTCGAGATCTTAGCACGAGGCGCACACACTCATCACGTGGATTAAGCACGACAACATAAAAGCACGTGGCCTGGTGCCGCTCAAGTATGGTTCAACTCGTACGGCTGACGCACTGGTCGATCCGACCTCGCCTTTCGTATTCTTTAGAACTCAGACGGATATCGTAGCGTCCTTTCAGATCCGTTGTCACACGATCCAGTTGCGGGTGCGAATACGAAACCCTGTGGACAAGTATCGGTGATCGATAAGGACTTTATCTACATTCGTGGATCGTTGTATGTGATTATCGACGCACGCCTCATTAAATTTAATCAACGAGTTCACGCGTTCGCTATCAATTTAAGATTCATGCGGAATGATATAGTGCAATGCTACCGATACGGACTGATTATTATATTAATAATCGAGAATATAATTTAAATGACGGTATATCGCGTCTGTATTTAATTTTGTGTCCCCTTAATGCTCTAATTCTTTATGTTCAATTACTTTACTTTTATTAATTTCACGAAAGCTTATCGTATACTTAGAGATCGAATTAAAATCGCTCTCTTGAAAGAAATTATGTAAAAAAAATTTACAATCTAATACCTTTATTGCTACATTATCTATTTCTTGTTTTAAACTAACAAAATTTAATTAATTGTATGCGCAAAAGAAGTTTTATAATTAAACGTTACACAAGTGTGAAAAATTATGCAGCATAAAGACGTCGTTTATCAATGAATGGAATACGCTATTTTTCTTAGTCAGATCCTGACGTCTTATCGACTGTAAACTGCGTGTTCTGCAGTGCATTGTGATCCATGCGGCGCGCAAAACGTGGCAAAGACGTGGGAAACGCACGGAGACGAACGCGGAACCGGAGAGCACGGGACGACACGGGAAGCGGAGAAAAACTGACTAAGCGGGCGCGTGCGTTGTAAACTGCTTTACAACGAGTCAATTAAAAGTTTAAGTTTAATTAGAAACTCGAGTCATGTGCGGTGCGCGAGCGAGGAATGGGAGAGGAGGCTGATATCGCTGCCCGTTCTCGCCCGTTTACCGCCCGGCTCTCTCTGTCTCTCTATCTCTCTCTCTCTCTTCTCTCTCCTCCTCTCCATCTCTCACTTTCTCGCCTCCGCCTCTTTCCCATCTGCGTAACTCCCGAGTTCCGAATTACCGGCTCGCAAACTCCCCTTTTGTTTCTCGCGCGCCTCACAGCGGGTCAAGTCTTAGGAGCTCGTCGCACGTGGGAGATGCGCTCGATAGGAAGAAGAAGCTGATGGAGCTCCAGCGGAACGATACGAGACGGCAGAATCCGTCGCCTGAGAATTTGAATTACTTTCCGACTTGGCGCGAAGGAGCATTCGCCGATTTTCACGTCGCAACGGAACGAAACTCTATGAACTCGTCAACCTTAGCGAAACCATAACGATACAGTTACAATTCGGATGGAGATGGATGGATAAAAAATGTTCAAATTTCTCGGGGCGCCTCTTTCATGTTTTACAGAAATTTTATATTCGTTATGGTCAATTGACTACGTTTACAAATAACGTTTTCAGTTTTGACGTAATTGAGAAGGAAAATCTGGAATGTAATTTTGAAAAATAGAAAAATGCCAGACTTTATCATTTATTTTACATACTCGTTTTGCGTAAATTGAGGGAAAAGGTGAAATATAGTCTCTGCTTAAAATATTTTGTTTAAGTTAGCAAGCCAAAATCTGAATTAGTTGCAGCTTTCCAGGTTTTAAAATAAGTTTTTAAAATAAGTATTCTAATTTTTTACTTAATTGGGAACGTTCTATTTGTTGCTACGATCTGATTACAATTTCATCAGAATTGATCTCTGAGCTGGCTACAAATCGAATATAAAAAAATTATTTATACGTGAGGCATGAATTTTTTAATTTTCGTAATTTATTAATTCATTTGCAGTTTTAGTTCAACGTTGCGCAAGCAATTTGGTAAGAGCATACGATACTAATCATTCATTGAGTCGAAAAAGGATATAGAAAAATTAGGCGATGTTAAGAAAAAAAGAGCCGGAGTTGAAGTGAAGGCTCGTCAGTTTTGCTAGATCTGTTCTTGTAAAACCAGGAGAGAATTGAATAGGTACTTGCGAAAACCTGCCACTACGCAACGCGGAAGGAAGAGAAGTCAAGCCGACGCGACGGGCGTAAGAACTCACGGCGAAGAGATTTTAGCTTCTTGTGGATTACATTTGAAGGTCCGTCGAGGGCAAAAAGGTCGGGGAGGAAGGGGGAGGCAGGAATGCGCCGGTTTGAAGGGAAAAGGCGAGCTGAAGTGGAGGAGCGAATTCGCGGCGAGGACGGAGGGATATAATTACCGGAACTGCACAACGGTTGTCGAATGTCAAAGAGATGGCACATAATTTAACACATGAGGCGGAAGCTGTACAAAGTGCATGACGGGCGGAAGAGACGGGGGGAGGGGGGGGGGGAATAGAGGAGAGACCGGAGAGCACCCGTTCGCCGTAAGCGACAGCGAAAAAGCGAAGAGAGGAGGAGGAGAGAGAAAAAAGAAAACGAGATGGAAGATGAGGGGAGAGCGGAAACTATATCTTGATATGCTACACCTAAGCCTTTTGTCCTGTACACATTTTTGCCTCCTCTCTACTCAACTTTCCCCTCGTCCTTCCTCCTCGCTCCTCCACGCCCGTCCTCCGCCCGCATCCCCTCGGTGTACGTCGACGCTCTTTGTCACCGCCCACTTAGCGCGCTACAGCGTCAAATTAAAAACTCGAGGCACCCTGGAAACGGCGATTAATCGCTCTCGTGGCAGTGATTGCCCGCTATCGCCCGTTCTTGCTCGTCGTCGTAACTTTATAGCGCGTTTTTCCCCCGGCCTTTTTCTTCCCCTCGCCTGGACCAACTTCCCGTACCTCTTGGACTCGCGCGGCGACCACCGGACACCTGGCCGGGAGCGACACTTTCAAGACACCTCGTCGGAGCTGCAGAGCGATGCGCGAATCGCGAGATCACTGCGACCTGAGCGGCGAAACGATCTCGTCGACGGCACCTGAGCACTACGACTGACGACTCGACGAGCGCAGTTGCCGACCATCGTATCTCCGGATAAGCCTTATCGGTACCCAAAGACCCCACCCTTCGTCCGTGAAACGCATCCCTCGGATGTCTTTCTTTTACGACACTCGCGTATTTCTCTGCCACGTTGACGACCAGCTTATCCGCGCGATTCCCGTACGCGCGTGCCGCGTTTCTTTTCCTCTTCTTCTTGTTTCTTTTTTTATTGCAATGCACCCGAATCCACCTGCTGTCGGACGCTATTAGACGTCGGGCGGCACGCCGCTCGAGTCGCCCGGCTTATCCCAGATCGTCGACGAGCTGATCTTTGGAGTGGCGTGCGATCGTTCATGCGCGGTCCAGACGCGTCATGACGACGCTCGGCGACGTTTCGGATAGTCGCGTTAAGGCGCGCGTTTCTCACGGAGTCCCACAATGATGATCATTTCTCTCCCGCGATATCATATACGATCCATGAGGAATGCGGAGCCGCGTCGATTTTACGACGTCGCCATGTCGATCGTCATCTGCAAACAACGTTCACCAATTAGAGATATTGTTGCCTCCATTTCCGTCGAATGTCATTGAAGTCGTCCGAACAAAAATCGCGAAACTAAGTGTAACTTCTTCTTCGGCTAAGGTATTCCTATCGCGGAGGAGTGTATTTTGTAAGCGCTTAAGGCAGGATACCACCTTTGACTGCGATTTTGGAGGCGTTTTTCATGAATTTTTTTTGCATACAAAGAGTGCCCGGAAACAAAATCGGTTTAGTCATTCATTAATGTAACTTTAATCTGTAATTACAAACTGAAAAAGTTACAAATAATCTCTTGTAGGTGGCGCCAAAATACATTCCTTTGGAGGAACATCGTTAGACTGCGTGTCAAATTCCGCTCTGTACGTGGCTCCTAGAAAAAAAACCAAAGAATGTTCCTATTAACAACAATATTTTTTAATGCTGTACGTAGGGATTTTACGAAATTTCGATTTTTAAG